TTGTGGGGGCCGGGCTCACCAGGAGAGCACGGTCAGGGGAGCTTGTGTCTGCATTTGCGAGTTCAAGTTCACAACAGAACTGCAAAGGTTCCTCTCTGTGGCCCCTCAGTGCCAACCATGCTTATGAGCGAGCGGGCAAGTAAGACCACCAGCACCTGCTTCCCCAGGTGCCTCTGGGCGTTACCTGGAAGCCTGGGGGCAGGAGCTGAGCTGGGGGGGCTGTCTGCTCACCTGGGAGGGGCTGCTATGGGGAGACAGGGGCCGTGGGTTGGTGTTGGAGGGTGCGATAGGGCGTCCTTCCAGCAGCCGGGGACTGGGAGGAATGGGAAGGGGCTCAGGTCGTGTTGTGCAAAGTGACAGAAGGTCACCTGTGCAGGAGAAGCCGGGAGACGGGAAGAACAGTGCTTTCCTGCCTGCCATCTCTAATAAGGTGACCAGATTGGCCCATTTTCCAAAAATCGGGACTTTTTTAAAACGCCGCGGGAGGCGGGAAAAATTGTTAGAAATCGGGGCTGTCCTGCCAAAAGCGGGATGATCTGGTCACCTTTTAAACCGGTCAGGACCGGAAACGTTTCAAGCTGTGGAAGCCAATCCTAGGTATTTTTTTTTTTTAACTAAAACTATGTTTAAAAATTCCCAGTATTGAAAATAGCTTCCGCACTCATTTGTGAACTGAACAATGTGACCACGGCAGACACCTGTGGAGTAAGAGGAGGACTTTGAAACCCATCGGGACCACCTCACAGACAGAAAGTCATTTTTTTGGGGAAACTATTTTTATGAGGAAAAAAATGCATGAACAGTGAAATGCAAATTCCTATTTGTTTAGCTATATTTCAAACTTCTCCTGAACATATAAGGCATATCAATTCAACATAATTATTTAAAAGGTAACATCAAGAATTTACTGGTGTTACTTTAACATAAAGAAGTCTTAGGAATAACAATTCCCAGCCTTTATAATTCAGTACATAAGGTCATCTGAGAGACGAAAAGCCCAATACATAAAAAAATAAAAATAAAAAATAAAAAATAGCCATGTATATATAAATGGTGTGTGTGTGTGTGGGGGGGAGTAATCTAAATCATTAAGATAAATGATCACCAAAATAAAAGATTTGAAAAAAATGCCTTTTTAATAAAAATTGCATTTGTCGCCCTGACCAGCTCAGTGGATAGAGCATCAGCTTGCAAACTGAAGGGTCCGGGGTTTGATTCCAGTCAAGGGCATGTACCTTGGTTGCGGACAAATCCCCAGTGGGGGGTGTGCAAGAGGCAGCTGATCGATGTTTCTAACTCTCTGTCCCTCTCCCTTCCTCTCTGTAAAAAAATCAATTAAAATATACTTTTAAAAAAATTGCATTTGTCATTTCATCTGGCATGATGAGGAGTCTGAACTACCATTTCCTGGATAATGAAAGGAAAGCCTGGAAAACCAATGAAGCCCTTTATAAATATGGAGGTGGGATGTGGACAGAGAGCGGCGGGAATATCTGTTCTCTCCGGGGCCATGATTTCATTTAGTTTCCTTTGCTAATTCCGGATGGAGACTCCAATTGCCTTGGTTTCTGGACCAATCTCTTCGTCAAACGCTCTCCAAGTGTGAACACCTGCCTGACGCCTCAGTCAGAAACAGCCAAGCAAAGAGAAGGTACAACAGAGCGGAAGAGGCCGCCACAGGCTCAGGAAGGTCCATGCCGCTGTGCATGAAGCCGCACGTGACATCACAGACACAGGTTCCCACTGTCACACCGATGGCTTATCAACACAGCACAGGTGACACGTTAACGCTGCCGATCACACAGCACAGTGTGCTTGCCAGGACTTCCGGGAGGTCACTATCGTGCCACGGCTTCCCGCCCAAGCTGCCGGGCACCATCAGGCCTGGCATCCCCGGTCCTGCAGAGTCACGTTAACACAAGAGGCACCAAAAGCTGTTGCCGACTCCTTCACGAAGTCCTGATGCAGTTTGCACCAAAGCTGGGGTTCCAGCCCGGCCAGCAGCTCAGAGCAGTCGCCTCCCATGGCTCATGCACTGCGCCTGCGGACTCCCTGGTTTCTGAAGAAAGAGCAGGAAATGGCCTCACGGAGCGGCTCTGCCCTGCGGCCTACGGTCCCCTCACCCGTCCTGCTCCTGGAGCTTTGGGCCAAATCTCTCCTCCAACCCCCGAGTCACATGGACAATGACACTACTTATAGGACCACTGCTGTGCAGCTGAAGGAACTGTGGACTTGACTTAAAATCTGAATTTAACCATTAGAAAAATTAAATGAGGGCAACTTGAGGTTTTCCTACTATTAGCAAGTGAAAGCTATTGGAGAATTGTTTCTGTCCTGCTTTGATGATGATAGTCTTCACAATAGTAAAATAAACATTCAAAACACTCAACAGGACAATAGGATGTATCCTAATTAATTAAGCACCAGAACATATATATGAGACACATATCTACACCTATATATAAATATAAATAAATATATATATAAATATATAGGTGTAGATATGTGTCTCATATATATATAGATATAGACATATATCACATATACATATGGTTTGTTACTGGTTAAAGTTAGTAAATGCTCCAATTAAGAAAATGAAAATCCACTATGAGAAACAGAGGTTGTATGTTATTTCTTTGTGTTGACTACCTATTGCTAACTAGCTCTTAAGTCAAATGAACTCTTGGATTTTGAGAGCAAACAAGTCAGTAATTTGCTTTTTCCCCCGAAGGAGAGCAGCAGCTTCCAGTGTGCGAGGCGGGGCGGGCAGGGGACATGCATGTGGACACACCTACAACACGGACCCAAACGTTTCACATCAAACAGGTGACACTTCCTGCTCACCGCATCTGAGAAACAGTTAAAGCAGCAGAAAAATTCTTTTAAATATAACAAATATCTGAAAAAGACCAAGGTTCTATTTTAGGCAAGGTAAGTTTATAATTCTGATTTAGGAGATAATAAGGTTTTCCTAAAGATTATTCTTATCGTTTTGTATAATTTTACATAACCCAAATTATGCTAATGCAATGCCTCATATGGATGCCAAAGTTGAATTTTAAAGATATAGCAAAACTTTTTTGAGGATCACCTTTTATACATTTAAATATGAAAACCCTTCTGGAAGAAGTCATGCTTCTGTCCAATTCAAAGACGGTAGCACAGATTTTGCAACAAGTCCAGTGAAAGTGACGGGATTGATGAAGTGCTGAGCTGTGAGGGGTGAGCAGGGACAACACACCATGACAAGCCCTTCCGGTGCCAGCAGCTGCGGGACAGCCACCCCATCGCGGTGCCTGGCCCACTCCCTTTTAGGACAAAAAGGAAGCAGGTCCCACCGTTGGCCTCATAACCTCTACAGAGATGGTTACGTTCAAACCAGGCTGACTTCTGACCTGAGTTACTCAAATAGTGAGCTTTGCACAGTGAAGGGGAGAGAATCCGGCAGACCCCGCTCCCCGGGGACAGCTCCCCACGCCGCCTTCCCCGGAGCCGCCTTCCCCGGAGCAACCCTGGTGGAGGCAGCCCAGGCCCCTTCCGTCAGGCTTCCTGCTTCTTCCCCGTTTCACCGTCTCCATTTTTACACAGTTCCCATCACAAACCACTGAAAACGACCGTTAAAGGTGATTCCCCTGATGTCTGCGAGAGCTGGATGATTCTGACCCAGGGCTCCAAGTACCATTTGAAAAGTCTGAGTCTTTAAAAACCTTCACTGTTTTAAATACTCAGAAAAATAATAACGATGACAGGAAGTACCTAGCTTATGTGCTTTGTGGTGATCTTTCAAAATGAGAGTATAAATCATTGTACGTAAAATCAAAATAGTTAATATACATCTTTTTCTGTGACGCTTTCTAGAAATTAGGCATTAAACATAAAACATCTTATAAATTTAGATAACAAAAATAAATGTTTACACTTTAATCTCAGCTAGATTACCTTCGGGTGGCCGAGCACGTGAGGGCCCGAGGCAGCTGGTGTGGCCGCTCAGATCCTTAGAGGCCCACGGCCAAGTCCACGGCCCTGCCAGGCGGCGTCACGGCATCCGGCTGTGTGCGCCAAGGAATGGGCTCCCGGCTCCAGCAAGGATGGAGGTACCACAGCGTTCACCGCAAATACTGCAAAGGTTCTGAAGCTTCAAACACTGAGGGGTGGGGGGTGGGGGTGGGGTTGCTAGAAAAATAAAATAAAGCGTCTAAAAGTGACTGCACGTCCTTTGGGAGCAGCTGCTGACGTGGCGTGCCCGGGCCAGAAGGCACGGAGACCCGAGACCCTCGAGGGCGTCCCCAGAGGACGTGGGTGATGGTCTGAGCGGCGACACAGATCTGAAAACTCCTGCGTGGACGGCCAAGGCCGACCCTGTGGCCCATTTCCTTGGAAGGAGCCAGCAGAAAGGGGGAGATTTCACGGGGACTCCAGCAGACACCACAAGAGCAGGAGAAGGGAACCTGGTTCTGCCGAATGGCATATCCGGACGCCAGGGCCCGGCGAGGGTGTGGGGGAGAATTGTGCTGGGTGTGGCCGGGCCTGCCAGGCGGTGCACCGGGCATGGTCAGGTGTGTGCCCTCCTGTTCTGTCCTGGAGTCTTCGCCACCCTCAGCCAGGGCAGTAGCCCGTGCGGCGGAGGGGACAGCCTGGTCCCCTGTCCCAGTCCCCGCCCGGGCGGCTAGAGCCTGATGACGTCTCCCTGGAGGGGATAGCCTGGTCCCCTGTCCCAGTCCCCGCCCGGGCGGCTAGAGCCTGGTGACGTCCCCCTGGAGGGGACAGCCTGGTCCCGTCCCGGTCCCCGCGGGGGGCGGCTAGAGCCTGGTGACGTCCCCCAGGAGGGGATAGCCTGGTCCCCCGTCCCGGTCCCCGCCCGGGCGGCTAGAGCCTGGTGACGTCCCCCAGCAGGGGATAGCCTGGTCCCCCGTCCCGGTCCCCGCCCGGGCGGCTAGAGCCTGGTGACGTCCCCCTGGAGGGGACAGCCTGGTCCCCCGTCCCAGTCCCCGCCCGGGCGGCTAGAGCCTGGTGACGTCCCCCCGGCACTGCTGCAAGTCCCCGATGCTCTCATAGTCGCTCTCCTTCGGGACGAGGCCATGCAGGCCGCCGGACTCCGGGGGGGCCTTCTCGTCCTCTCTGCTCGGAGCCTGGATGGCCTCGTAGTCGGGCTCGGGCTCCCGGGGCCGGGCTGCCGGGCCCAGGGTGCCCGCGCCGCCGCCGGGCGGCTGCTCGAAGTCTTTGACGGTCGCGTAGAGGTCGTTGCAGGAGGACGGGGACCTCCGGGCAGCTCCCGGGCTGCAGGTGTCGCTGGACTCGGGCACTCTGAGCGACTGCCCCGGTTTATTGACGGAGGAGTACATGGCCGAGATCTAGAAGACAGAGAGCCAGGCCAGTCAAACGGAAACCCTTCAAGCCGGACCGCCCCTCCCCACTCAGTGACGGACTGGAGACTGAGCACCCAGGGTGTGTGTGTGTCCCTTTAAGAGCCCCTGTGGAGAGCCCGGATCAGATTCCCAATCCTAGCTCAGTGAGATGTAACCGGCATACAACGCGTGTCAGGTTAAGGGATACGACCCGACAATCTGATACACATCTGTGTTGTGAAATGATTGCCACAACCAGGTTAGGGAATACCTCCATTACCTGTCGCCATGTTCTGGGTGTGGCGGTCACATGTAAGCTCTATTCTCGGAACAGTTCTGAGCCCAGAACACACAGAGGACACACACAGCATCCATGCTGGGCACCGCCTCCCAGCACTTGTTCCTCTTGCAGTCAGTCGGAAGTGTGTAGCCTTTGACCAGTATCTCCCACTGCCCATTCTCTCCAGCCCCTAGCCAGCACCAGCCCACTGTACTTCTATGAGGTCAGCTTTCTTAGATGCCACATGTGTTTGAGAACATAAAATATTAGCCTTTCCCTGTCTGGTAACTTCAGTTGGCAGATGCCCTCAAGGTCACAACTGGCAGGACTTCCTTCTTTTATGGCTGAACTAGAGGCTTGCTGCATGATGATTCCTTCCCCTGGCTTTGCTCCGGCCACCCGGGAGCCTGCAAGGCTTCGCCTCTGGAAGCTCGGGAGCCTGGAGTCTTTGCTCCCAGCCAGAGCACCGCTCCTATAGCTCCCTCTGCTCCCTGCCCTCCCCCTAGCAAGCGTCCTGCTCTGCCTGGCGCTCCACACCTGTGTATGCAAATGAACCCACCACCTTAATTTGCATACCCACTCCTGATTGGCTGATGGGATTTGAAGAGATACGGTCAATTTGCATATTTCCCTTTTATTAGTATAGATAATATCTACTGTGTATGCCTATTTGGATATTCCACTTGCACACTTGAGATGTATATGGAATCACATTTCTTGTCCATTTGTCTGTAGATGGACATTGAGGTTGCTCCCAGGTCTTGGCTATGTGACCAGTGCTGCAGGTCATATGGGGGCAAGTGCCTCCTGAGACAGTGATTTTACTTCCTTCAGACAAAGGCCCAGCAGTGGGTTCCTCAGTGTCTGCCACGCATTTCTAGAGAACAATTACACAGACTATCTTCAGGCAGACCAGCCGTGTTGGCATGAGCCCATGAAGATCCAGTTCTCTCGGTCTGTGGCAGGCAGGAGAGGGTGCGGGCAGCACGAAGCCCCTCGAGGGACAGTCTTTCTACATCGGAAGGCTTTCTCAGCTGAAAAGGGACTCTACTGCTTTACAGAAAAGGCAGGAGGCATGCATGCGACGACGGAGTCTCACTCTGTGAGCACTGAACCAGCAGCTGCAGGATCCAGACATTTACAAGAAAGGCAGCTTCTGCCCCCAGAACCACGGAGGCAGAGACTGGGGCTGGCCGGCTTGTCGCCCTCTGAGTGTGAGAGCCAGGACATGGGCCTGGCTCACTGTCCTGCACAGCGCGGGCGGAGTCGGGTCCTGGGCTCTGCTGGGCAGCGCACACACGTGTTTGTAAGAGTCTGGCCATTCCTTTTGGTCACCACATGCTGCTGATTAAGCAAACACTCACAGAGACTTCAGTAAGAAAGTCATTCTCATTTCCAACCAGCTCACCGAGAAGCGGAGTTGGAGGTAATCAGTGATGGGAACTCTTTCCTACGTGAGGAGGGCTGTCTTCCCAGCTACTCAGTGTTTCTAACGCACCCACAGAGGCTCCAACAGTGAGAGCGACTCAGTCTGCATTGGTGATGGAAGAGTAGATGGCTATTATTTTAGTGTTAGAAATGTGGTTGGAAATAAGTAAACATATCCTTCCTTGGCCCCATGACTCATTTACCCAAACACCCAGAAATAAGGAACATGCTTCCCGATTCCTGACAGACTCGGCCTGCAGGGGCCAAGGGCTCTGCCGCCTCCACAGGGCCCCCACAGGGATAGGGGATGGGAGTAGGGGTCTCTGCTGGCCGCGGGCCTCCAGGACGGCCACGTCCTGCCTGTCATCTGCTGAGGACAGTCCACAGGCCTGGATGACCCAAAGGTCTAGGTCAGGAACAATCTTGGGTGGTCTGACTATTCTGACGACTGTTCACCATTCTCACCTTAGAGGTTCTAACGGAAAAATGACTCTCAGAATGAAGACACGATTTCTTTGAATTTAGGAAGAATGAATAAGTTGTCTGCTTTTCATAGTGACTGCGAACAGATGGAACTTTACATCCAGAAAGCAGTCCCAGCCGGGATGTGGACAGGTTATGAAGGGGTAAGTTGCCGGTGATGGGGACCAGCCAGGCTCACCTTCACCTTCAGGGGTCACACAGCGCGGACACAGGTCGCCTGCGATGTGAAGGCGGTCCCGGCCCCATCCCCCCAGCCTGCTCCTCTCCTCCAGGGCCTTCCAGGGAGGAAACTCTCCCAGCCAATCCCAGGCTCCTCCACCAAAGTGCAACCTGGGATCATCCTGGACGTGAGCAGAGCGCCCCTGTGAACTTCCTTATAGGGTTTCTCCGTCTCGTAATGTTCCTCTTGAATATCTGTCTTCTGTGACTATGGGTTCTATTTTGCATACAGGCTTCTCTTCGAGGCCTTCGCTTTGATTTTTTTTCTCTTTAAAATGTATCTAGCTTTGCAATTTTCCTCTTTAACATCTTTCATTTTCATTACTCAGTCTGCAGATTATGTTCTCAGAAGTAATTTAAAATTTCACATGGTCTTGGTTTATTTTAATAGGATTTGCCTCCAGGTCTCTTGTACATTCTATTCTCTTGTCCCAAAGGGGGGCCTGGCATGGGGTGGGCGATGCTGAGGAAGGCCGGGGACCGCCCCGCCGGGCAGGGCAGGAGGGGGCTGTGGGATGGAGCCGGGATGAAAGAAACCGTCTGGAGGAGGAGTGGAGGGACTTGGCGATTGGCTGCATCTGAGGACGATGAGGAGAAGGGATCAAGCATGACCCCCAGGTGTGGCTTGTGCCACCAGGTAGCCAGACGGCAGATGCCTCCTGGGGAGGACTGAGGGGAAAGGCATCGCCTGGGCTGGCCTCTGCTCCTGTCCCCGGGCCGCAGTGGCCGAGGCCCCATCCTCACACAGACCGCTGAGGAGGTGCTGCCTGCGCACGCCACCGCCTACACATGCAGGCGGGACTCCCTGCCCGGGTCCGAGGGCAGCCATCTGCAGCCCGGCCGTGGAGGGTGCCCGGCTCTGAGCCAGGAGAGACAGGACAATGCATGGCTGGCTGTTACCACTCACACTCCTCGGACCTTCCTCGGCTGGAGCTGCGAGAACCTGTGAGCTGCCCTTGTTGGTGGTACCGCTGGCGCAGCCGGCCTGGAACTCACGCCCTGAAAAGCCCTGTTCGCTGCCTGCAGCCCCCTCACTGCCTAGACAGCCGCCTCAGTCCCCCTGCTGTCAACCCCCTCCACACCCCACCCCTTCCAACTTCCTGTATTTTCCACCCACGATGGCTTCCTCCTCGCAGGGACGTCGGAATGCCGACCACTCTCGTCCCTAAGTTCCTCTCTGATTCCTCTTTCCTCCCCGCCCCCAGTTTTCCTGACCCTCCTTTCCCACTGGGTCTCCTTTCCTCAGCGGACCTGCCCACCCCCCTGCCAGCCCCTCCACCTGAGCCACTGCCTAACCAGCACCCGGACCCAGCTCCCCTCAGCACTCACACCAAGGGTCTGCGCTGCGGGTGCACCCAGGAGGGACTCTGGCCCCACTACAGGGGCTTCCTGGTGACTGAAGCTGTAACACACCCCTGGCCCGTGTGGTGCAGTGGTTGCTCGTCCCATCCCCTGGCCTGTGTGGCTCATCCCAACACCGAGAGGTTTGATTCCGGGTCACAGCACAGGCCCGGGCTGTGGGCTCCATCCCCGGAAGGGGGAGTGCTGGAGGCAGCTGATGGGTGCACTCGGATCGATGCTTTTTTCTTCCTCCCTCCCTCTCCCTTCATCTCTAAAAACCAACAACCTCTCCTTAGAGAGCTACAGCACTCACCTCCTCGTCTGTGAGCGTCGGGTCCTCCTCGCGGGACTTGTAGGACAGGGCACTGAGCCTCTGGGAGGAAGACAGAAGGGGTGTGAGGTGGGGGCCGGCTTCCTCCGTGGGCCAGCGCCCCTTTCGGTAAGAATGCCTTCGGTGACGTTTGGGAAATGGAGGAAAGTGTGCAGAGCCCCAGGGGAACACACACGCAAGAGCCCGTTTTCTGATGTTTCTGGACAGCCAGGAGCAGGAGACGTTTCCTACACTTTTGTATTTGAGTCAGTATCAGTGGAGGATTGGTCATCAGTGAAGACTCGATGATAAAGACATCGTTTCATTACGGCCTGCCTGGGTGCTGTGTTCCTACGTTTGCAGGAGTCGCAGGAAGACTCCGCGCCATCAGGGACACCGGAGCCAATGAGAGGCAGCTCTGCCTGGCGGCAGGTCCTCCGGCTTTTCTCACACGCCCTGTCTGTGCACATCCTCCCCGATTTCAACCCACACTCGGCCTTTCACACTCAGCCTTCAGTTCCCTGCCCTCCCCACCGCCCTCCTCCACACGCCTCACTGCTCATGTCCTGGCCTCACAGCCTGGACCTCCTCGTACCCTGAACCACAGCCACAGCCGCTCCACCCTCCCAACTCCTCGCTGGCTGCTACCAGGCCCTTCCCAGCATCTGCCTCGTGGGGGGCTTCTGTTCTGCTCCCCTGGCTCTGGCTCCGGAGCCTCAGTCTCACCGACCCTCAGCGCCCCCTGGTCCCGTGACCCCCTCACGGACAAACACTTTACATTCACGTTGTTCTCTCTGACCATGCAAAGGGCAAACATTGACTGTGTGTGTATTTCATGGCTATGATCACGTGTAGGCACTCTGGACAGCGGGTTTCGTGAGAATCCCGAAAAGTGCCAACACTGCGAGGAATGAGCTAGAGCCAGAGCTCACCGCTGACCATGAACCCAGACGGGTCTAAAGGCGACTCCTGACGGACGGACCGCCACGTGGCCTTCCTACCAACACCTACGAAGCAAGCATGCCTTTCTCTGGGTAGAAAACAGTATTAGATACCAGCTACCTAACAAAGACCACACCTGGTGACTCCCACGGAAACAGGCGTGTGCCAGGGGACCGTGCCCACACGCCGAGGGACCATGCCCACACGCTAAGGGACCATGCCCACATGCCGAGGGACCGTGACCACACGCCGAGGGATCGTGCCCACGCGCCGAGGGACCGTGCCCACACGCCAGGGGACCGTGGCCACACGCCGGGGGACCGTGCCCACACGCTGGGAGACTGTGCCCACACACCAGGCCACAGACGCACAGAGCTGGGGGCTGTGGCACTCAGAGCTCCGCTGAACAGCTGAACGGGAGGGACGGCCATTGCTCAGACATTCTCACAAAGCCTCTCTCACATGCGGGTTTTTATAAAAGCATCAGGTTAGCCGGACACAGCCAGTGGCGCTGAGAGAGGTCTCCGTGCCTGCTCCTGGCTTTGAGGACTGGGATGGAGAGGACAGAGGCCGCCTGGCCGCTGGAGGAGACAGAGGGCAGGCAGAGGGCACGGACCGCGTGGCCCGGAGCCGGGTCTCTCTCCTGATTTCCCGGTTTCAGAGCGGAGAAAGCAGCACTTGGCCCCGGTTCGACATGATGTAAAGACGGGAAGACACTCAGGAGAGGTGCCAGGTGCTGGAGAGAGAGCTGTTTTATAAGCTTGATGTTCGGTGTTTCACTTCTTGGATTAGGTGACAAATGGTTAAAAATCGTGACTGCCCCACCAAAAGCGGGACGTCTGGTCACCTTACTCTTGGGGGGAAGAGGGCCGACACAGCTCCCACCAACACAGTGCCCGACTCTCCCTGCTCTGCATGTGTGTGTGTGTGTGTATGTGTGTGACGTGTGTGTGTGTGTGTGTGTGTGTGTGTGTGTGTGTCTCCCGGACACGGCCAGGAGGGGCCCAGCTGACCCCTGCGGCCCCGGCGCTCACCTTGCTGGCCTCTCGGCTCCCCTCCTCAGCCCGCCCGTCCTGCGCCTGCAGGTTCTCGTTCTCGTCCAGGAGCTTCGCGGGCACGGGTGGCGGGGCCTCCTCCTCGGCCTCCCGGGTGGGGCCCAGCACGGCGTCGGCGTCCACGCTCTGCCGGCACTTCTTGTTCCTGTCCACCGAGGCGTACTCGGCAAAGTCCGGGCCGCCCGGGGCCGGGGGCGCCGGTGCCTCCTGGGGCGCGGGGCCCGCCCTGGCCCGGCCGCCGGGGCCCTTGCCCGCGGGCGCGGCCGCCTCCTTGATCTCCTTTACGGTCTCGTACAGGCAGTCCTCCACCATGTTCTCCTGCGACGAGCTGTCCTTAAGCACCTCGTAGGGCCCCTCGGCCCCCGGGCCCGGGTCCCCGTCCCCACTCCCGGCGCCGTCCGGGGGGATCCGGGGCAGCTCCCGGCTCTGATGGCCCCTGGGCCTCCCTGGGCCGTCCTGGGTGTCCGGCGGGTCGGGGGCCGCGGCCAGCACCTCCTCGTAGTGCTGTGTGCAGGTTCCGGCACTGCCTTCCGAGGCGACTGCAGCGGGCGGAAAGGGGAGAGAGACACCCCTAAATTATCATCTCGGGATTCACTGCTGTGCTTTCTGCAAGGCCCAGGCGCCTGCTGGTCAGTCCACTTCCTTATGTCCTCCCGACAACAGTCAGTGTCTTGGCTACCCACCTGGCTCTCAGGGACTCCCACTTCCTGTGGTGACCCCTGAGGGGACCCCGTAGGCAGGTCCTGTGCTCGGGGTTTTGACTAGCTGAGTCATTCCAGCAGCGGGGCCGGGCACCCTCATGTCCACAGAGGCCCTGCCTGAGTCCCATGCGGTGCCCACACGGTGCTCACGCAGAGCCCACACGGTGCCCACGATGTTCACGCAGAGCCCACACGGAGTCACCCCGGGTGAGTGCGGAGGCCCCTGCTGCCTGCAGGCTGCACGCCCTCCCCCCCAACAGGCTGACCCCACACATGCTGCCTGCCGGTGAGACCAGGCGGGACTGGGAACCGGCTCTGCGCGGGCACCGTGTGGGCTCTGCGTGAGCATCGTGTGGGCACCGCATGGGGCTCAGGAGGGCCTCTGTGGACATGAGGGTGCCCGGCCCCGCTGCTGGAATGACTCAGCTGGTCACGGGCCACACTCTGAAAGGTGGGGTGCCCTGATGGCAGGCAGGCCTGGTCCCCTTTGGCTCGGCAGAAGTGATGGGAATATTGGGGCAAAAATGTGCCCGACACCAGCGTCACATAGAGACCACACACCAGGCCTCCCCGCCCACTCCCACTCCGCCTGGCAAAGCCCACGGAGGGGGAACCTCCATGGACAGGAGCGGCGGTGCCCGAGAGCAGTTGCGGGCCAGGGAGGGGCGCTGCAGCCACCGCTCAGGGGGTCCCACCCTCGCACTGACCCAGCCGGGAAGGTCCCCAAATGCCACGGCTCCAGGACACAGTCTTGGTTCACAGGCATGAAGGTGGGAGGGTACGCATGTGGAAAAGCACGCTTACCTATGCATTCATACCCCACACTCATGTCTATTTACCATGTGTGACTCTACCATCTCCCTGACGTGTGCTGTATGTGATATGTAGCCTTTTCACGGGTGCATGTGTGTTTCTGATGACAATGTTAGCTGCTTTTCTTTACCGACTGGGCCGGATGCTGCAGGAGGGCTGGGAGCAGCGGCTGCCAACAGTTCAGGGTGAGCAGGCAGCAAGGCTGCCCAGCCATCAGCAGCCCGAGCTTTCCATCCCTGTGAGAGGACTTTGGTAAAACTGGAGCCAAAAGTGAGCCTCGGAGCCATGCCTCTGGAGCCCTGGACCTCAGGGGAGGAGTCCTGGGTGGGTGTGGGAGGACTTACTGTCCCCGTTGGTGAGGGCGCCGTTCTGGTCACTGCTGAGGAGCGCGTCCGTGGCCAGGCTGGTCACCGAGCGGCTGAACACCTCCTTGTCCGAAGGCTGCAAGAGAGACACCGGTCAGACCGTCCGCCCACCCTTTTTCTAAAAACGTTAACACCAGCAAAAGCCCGCCCGCCGCTTTGGTTTCCATGAAGGGGATTCAATAGGCGGAGGGTGCTCATGCCCTCAGCACCTGTCTTGTGCTCAGTGCCGCGTGTGGTGGGGGCTACCGGCCCGTGTCCCAGTGGGAAACGCTGCTGGACGGGCCGTCCCAGCATGGCCGGGGCCCAGGGACCCTCTCCCGGCGGGTCTGCAGATGGGCCTGGGGGCAGTGAGGGAGGAAGCTCCCGGTAACACTCCATCCGGAGGGATGACCACACGCTGGGCTGTGCCCACCACCTGCCCCTACTCCCAGCTGCCAGGAGAAAGGCCAGGCACTGGACACCCAGAGGTGGAGAGCAGGAGGGACAGAGGCTGAGGGCTGTGTGGCAAACACCGGACAGCAGCGGGTGCACTGGAGGAGGGCAGGGCCCGGGCTCCCTGGAGGAGAGGGTCCCAGCAGCTCCCTGTCTGCTGGGCGTTGCCGGGCTGGGTGGCAGAGCCCAGAGTCACCCCGGGTGAGCGCGGAGGCCCCTGCTGCCTGCAGGCTGCACGCCCTCCCCCCCAACAGGCTGACCCCACACGTGCTGTCTGCCGGTGAGACCAGGCGGGACTGGGAACCGGCTCTGCGCGGGCACCGTGTGGGCTCTGCGTGAGCATCGTGTGGGCACCGCATGGGGCTCAGGCAGGGCCTCTGTGGACATGAGGGTGCCCGGCCCCGCTGCTGGAATGACTCAGATGGTCAAGAGCGTGGAATCCTCCTCTCTCTCAGCCAGGACCAGGCTGTTTGCTCAGGCGGCTCCTCCCCGGTGGTCCGGCAGCACCTTCGGGGCACCGTGGGCTGCCACATACCAGAGGCCATGCCACGCCGCAGTGCTGGGCCCCAGGCCCTCGTTAGCTCGGTGGCCAGCTGTTGGGGGGAACTGTGTCCTCCCCAAATTCCCATGGAGCCCCAGCCCCGATACCTCAGGAGTGACCCTACTCGGGAGCAGAGTCATTGCAGCTGAAACCAGGTAAGGGAGTCTCGCCGGAGTCCGTGCAAAGGGGACTGGGGCAGACAGGCGCACAGGCAGGGAGGCACCATGGGATGCAGAGGCCCCGAAAATGCCACGGACGGCCAGCAAGCCACCAGTGACCTCCTCCCCGGGTCCCGCCTGCAGAGCTCTGAGCAGCGGACTGATGGTTAAGCCGCTCCATTCGTGGTCCTCCCTTACCACAGCCCCAGCGAATGTGTGTGGGGCCAGCGTGGGGTGGACGCACAGAGACAGCCCCTGGCCCCCTCAGCATCTCTCCCAGGCCCCGCACTATGGCACCCAGGTCAGAGCCCCCCCGCAGCCTGGCTGCCTGCACAGGCCTCCGGCCGTGGGTCTGCACCGGCAGGAAGGGCCCGCCCAGGCAGCTGGAACTCAGGCTGTTCTTTCCGGAAGGAAACTGTAAGCTTGTGGGAACATGCTTAGATGAGCAGCCAGTGTTTGGAAACATGCACATGGAGACACACATGCATGGAGACACACATGAAGATGCAAGTGCAAACACATGTAGACACATGGCTGCACACACATGCGCACATGCACACGCATGCACTGGGGCTCACCACGTTCATCAGGTTCTCATGGTCTCCACTGTACTGTCTCGGCTTCTTTTCTCTGAAATGAAAAATAAGATGTCTCTGTGATATCACACTTGCCATCTGAAATCAAACAAGCACCCCCTTCCCATCCTAATGTCAGAACCCGTTTAACTGCCAAGGAAGCAAAGCTGGACGGGGGAGGGGGGGCGGGGAGAGTAAGGGGGAGTGCTGAGAAGGGGGAGGGGGGTGGGGAGAGTAAGGGGGAATGCTGAGAAGGGGCGGGAGGGGGTGGGAGGGGCGGTCACAGCAGGGTCCCCACAGGAGGACCAAGGCAGGACGCTGAGGAGAAACTGATTGTATCTGGAACGCTGGGTGAGTGATGGGTGAGTGACCCTTTAAAAAAAAGAGAATCCCGACACCCCTCCTGCTCGCTCAGCGTGGAGGCTTTGCACTCCACACTGCAGTGGCCTCAGAAAATAAACAAAAGACACCTTTTGGCACGTCAGGAAGGGTGCATACTCTCAGGATGAGTCATGTGTACTTCCGTCCAGTCTGTGGAAAAGTCCATAGAGCAAAAATAGAAGCTGTTGTTACTGGGACAGGCTAGGAAGCCATCCGTTCTAGCGCGTTTCCCTATGGATGTGTAAGGCAACAGCGTCCCCTAGTGGGAGACTTAACAACTACAGAGGCGGGCTGCCGGGCCTGGGAGCAAAGGCCTGCTGGGTCCTGGAGACCCTGCCCCAGCCCGCAGGCCTGGGTGCCCCTGGGCAGGCAGGAGGGGCTCTGGGTTCGGAGTCCAGCTTTGCTTCTCCTGACGGAGCCACCGGGGTAGGGAGCCACGTCCAGAGTCCTAAATGACAGGTGATGAGTCTCTCTGAGGCTGCTGGGAGGGGCGGGCTCTCACCTGTGACAGCTGGAGCACAGAAACACGAGGAAGGTGATGAGGAAGAACGTGGCGGCAGCTGCCAGACTTCCCCACAGCACGACCTGCAGGTGTCCGCCCAGCAGGCTCCCGGAGGGCCCCATGGCGGGAGCCGGAGGTGGCGCCGGCGGGCGCGTCCCTCAGTCCTCCAGACCTGGTGGCATCAGGGCCGAGGGCGGCGCCTGCCTCGGAGACCAACCTGTTTGAAACAAGGTCTCAGGTGAGGAGACGCAGGCACCTGCTGACTGACTTTCCTGCCCAGGAAGGCTGCAGAGTCGGGCAGGGGGCCGCGCTCTGGGCGGGACCGCCGTCCCCTCACCGTCCAGGCCTTCGTCCCCCTCCGCACACGCAGGCTGGGGCCGTCCGCGCCCGCACGGCATGTGGGAGGGTGTCTGGTCACGCCGGCACGCCGGCGGGTAGACTCCCTGGTGCCTTCATGTGCAGTAGGAGCCAGTGCCCACAGCAAGCACACGTGGTGCGCCGGCTTCTCTGACTCCCAGGCAAAGCCTTTAATCCACGGCCCTCCCCACCGGCTCCCCCACCGTTCCCAGCTCCCGACCTGCTTTTCTCCCGGAGGTTGGAGGTCGATGCCTTCGAGGCCATGGGATGTCTCTCTCTCACCTCGAAAACAGTGGTCTGTCCGAGCGGGTGGCTGCCTGTGTTCAGGGCCAGCTCCCCCTGCGCCCCCCAAACCCCCACACGCAGCCCAGGTGAACGGGTCTGTGCTGAGGGACGCACCGCGGGAGACAAGGCCGGAGCATCCGGCGCAGCACGGAGCCTGCCGACACCTTACCCCGCCCGGCGGGCGTCCGAGAGACGCCTTCTTCACTCATCGCTGCCATAGCCCCGCTCCCCAGGCCCCACAGCACTGCCGCCCCGCTCCGATGGCCCCTCACGCCCGCTCCGATGGCCCCTCAGCCCGCTCCCCTGGCCCCTCAGCCCGCTCTCCTGGCCCCTCAGCCCGCTCCCCTGGCCCCTCAGCCCGCTCTCCTGGCCCCTCAGCCCGCTCTCCTGGCCCCTCAGCCCGCTCTCCTGGCCCCTCAGCCCGCTCTCCTGGCCCCTCACGCCCGCTCTCCTGGCCCCTCACGCCCGCTCTGCTAGCCTGGCACCCACTGCATGTCCCGCTCTGCTCACCCCGTTTCCTGGTGAGGCAGGTGAGGGACAGAGAGTTCCCCTCCAGGTGTCAGGTGCTAACTGGCAGGTGAGGCGGAGGCCAGGCCTCTGGCTCTGAAGCCTGGGTCCCAGCCACATGCTTCTAAGTGCTCACCATCGGTATGGTTTCCCAGCTCTAGACACAGGTTTTGAAAAAGCATAGCATAATCCAACGAATGGTGCTCTCTCATCAGAGAGGTCTTATTTAAAGAACATTGGCTTTGCTCAATTCTAGAATATTCTCACAAGGAACAGCCTCTAACTTAATCTCAAGTTTCATGAATAAGGTAAACAGATACATATTTTATCTTATAACTAGGGGCCCGGTGCACAAAATCTGTGCACTGAGGGGGGGTGGGGAGAGGGTTCCTCAGCTCAGCCTGCCCGCTCTCACAATCCGGGAGCCCTCAGGGGATGAGCCACAGCCTGGCCTCCCTCTGCGGGAGGCGACCCGGCTAATCAGGGGAAGACATCAACCCCATCACCCCGCTGCTGCAGCCACCAGGGTGTTTTCATCAACACGGACTCCAGTCCCTTCACCGCGAAAAAAATAACATTTTTGATGAGAGTTAGACATCAATCAGGCTGGCAGGGGAGTGGTTAGGAGGTGATCAGACTGGCAGGCAGAAGTAGTTAGGAGCAATGAGGAAGGCAGGCAGGCAAGCGGTTGGGAGCCAGCAGTCCTGGATTGTGAGAGGGATGTCCAGCTGCCTAACTCTCGAGGGGCCCCCAGATTGGAGAGGATGCAGGATGGGCTGAGGGACACACTCCCCCCCCCCCATCCCATGCATGAATTTCATGCGCCGGGCCTCTAGTATATATACGGTTGAGGATTAATAACAAAAAGCTGGAGAAAAAGGAAAAAACCCGCACTGCGTACACCTGCCCTGTACACAGACAATTCCAGAAGACAAGGTGGCTGTGCTCCTGTCCTGAGTCAAGGAATTCTTCCCGCCTCTCAGCACATAAACGCACCCTGTCCGGAGCAGGAGGGACTTCCTTCGTCCCAGGTGGTTTGCAAACAATCCACACACGGTCACGGTCAGGTCCCAGGCGGCCACAGCGCCCCGGCTCTCTGCCCCAGGCAGCCCTAACGAATGGACATCCCCGCCCCTTCTCCCAGGATTTGCTGAAACAATGAGCCAGTCACGTTAAACTCAGACTACAGATTGGCACCACAGAGAGTTACTAAGACACACTCAGGCAAGCACATGTCGTGGCAACCTAGGGTCCACGTGGGAAAGCTCCACGTGTGGCGGAAAGCACGGCACAGGTGACCTGTGTGCAGGCGTGTGCTTCCCTCCTCCACCCCTCTGCCATCGCACGGCAGCGTCAGCCGGTGTCTGCGGAAGCGCAGGCTCTGAGGAAACAGTTCTGTGAGTTAATGCGAAGCCAGGCCTGGGTCCCGGGACAGCCGTGGGCCTCCAGCACCCAATCACTTCTGTTCCATTCTCTCTTCTGTCGAGCTCTCTCCCCAGCAGAGGCCGACGGAGCACAATGCAATGTGTGAGGGGCCTGTGTGAGGGGCCAGCCGACCAGCTCCGTGTGGGGAGAAGGATCAAAGCTAGTAGAACAGGCTCCTGAATAAAGGTTGCAGCTCAGAAAAAAGTGTGTCTGAGCTCGTGGCTACTCCCCTTCAACTAGAATTGGCTGAAAAGCTACCAAAAGAAACACTTTCCCCCAAAAAGTCCTCATTGTGGGAAAAAAATCTCGGTGAAGAGAATGACCATCATCTGACACACATTTCCTGGTCAGATACGTTGTGATCGCCAAGGCCAACCTGCCTCCGGCTCCCAGGAGCCTCCAGCTCCCAGGAGCCTCCAGCGCAGCTGGACAGGCCAGAGCCACACAGTCCGGGGGTGGAGTGGGCAGGGAGCTGTCCTGGGAGGGGCCACACACAGCGGCTCTGACCTCACACACACCTCCGGGGGGATCAGACTCCGCTGGTCAGCGCCGACTTAAATCTGGTGGCTTACCTACCACTGGGACAGACTTGCCCTCCCCAGGTGTGCAGCTGCACTGACCCCCACTGTGTACATGCACACGTGACCTCCTTGTTCTTCCTTCTTGGTGAGGAGACTGAGGCCTCCTGTGAGTGGTCCAGGGCTCATTCTAGAAGACCCTGGCCTTCTCTCCACGGCTGGGCCCCGTGTGTGTGTGTGTGTGTGTGTGTGAGATTCATGAGCTGAATCAGTGCTCAGGGTCCTGCTTTTGGTTTGACCTGAGCAGTGCTGGGAACACCGTCCTTCCCCTGCTGAGGCTCTCCCAGGCTTAGTGGCAGAGGGAAGCGTAAGGAAACAGGGGGTGCGGCGTCTGGGGGGGTCAGCTACCCGGGAGGAAGGGCCTGCCCCAGGCCACACACTGCCCTAGGGACCAGAAGCCTCGTAAGAAAAACACCCCACAGCCCCGGTCCATGATACCGTTACTGCCCCAGCTTCCTCTACCAAGGAGGGTGCTTTCTGAGTCCCCAGGATGAGGCCATCCCGGCAGAAACATGCAAAGACTTGGGGCTCTCCCTCCTGATGTGTTCACGGTGACACTTCAGCCTGTCTCTCAGTCCTGTTCTCACCTGCCGCCACTGTCCCATTCAATTACAGGCCATCGGCTCCTCAAAGTGCAAACACGTCCGCGGTCAGACCACGTGCACACAGTCGCCGAGGGGCAGAGGGGCCCCCGCACTGCCCCCGCACTCAGAGCTGTGCCAGGTGGGCCCCGAGGTGGGGCATAGGAAACAGCAGGTCCGGTTCCCAGCTGTGCTCCCCGTCGGCTCACCACTGGATAGCCACCGCCGAGACCATCATTTCACAGGAACATGCCATTGCTGTGGAGGAGGCAGCTCACCCCAGCCCAGTTTTAAGGAATCTCAGGCTACGGTGGGAACTCCTATTTGACCCCGAGAAAGGTCAGTGCGTTAAGGTGAGGAGGAGACTGAGGCTTCATGTGAGTGGATCCTTAGAAAAACTGGCCTGGATAATGATTTTGGACTAAAATATTTTGGGTGAAATTATTTTGGTCCGTTCTTTCTTAGTCCTTCATATCCATTAACTTCGAGATTTTAATCAATATGTGATTCAATCTGTAGAAAAACCAATGCCTTTATTTCACAAACAGGCTCGCTTTAACCACAAGGTGGCGGTGTAATGCCATCCTGGGCGGATCCTCAGCTCCTGGGGAGACCTGGTTCTTGCTGCCTGTGCTGCACGTTTTAATTGTCTCCATCACCTGGGCTCTCAGCCTCCAGAACCCACGTCTTCAGGAAGACAGACAGACTCCGGACAGGATTAAGGAGAGGAGCAGACTAACTGCAGTGACCTGCTTTTTAGCTTAACGACCCCAGGAATTCTGGGGGTGCGTTTGGCGGAGTGGCTCCTCTGAAGCAGGTTTGGGCAGCGTGACTCACTCCCTGGCACAGCTGGCCTGGTGGACCTGTAATTAGCGGATAGAAACCGCCCCCACTGTGGCCTGGCTGGTGGACCCAGCCCCACGGGCACGCCTCCTTCTGGGTCCTCTCGGGCGTGGGTCCACGCGGTAAGATGACACGGAGCCACGGTTACCAAACACGTTTAGTGTGGCAGGGAGCGAGGTGCTGCTGAGCTCTGTCCTGGAGGCACCCGGCCACACCCCAGGCCACGGCTCCATGCCTCCCAACAGCACTCCCAACCACCCCCGCCCCCAAGGGGTTCAGCTAGTATTTACATTCAGGCAGATTTCTCTTCCCACTAAGGCAAGCCTGCCACACTGACCTTGGTGGCCAGGGCTGCTGTCAATATGGGAATCAGTCAAGCAAATGTCTACAGCGTCCCCCCCAGCCCCCTACCTCCCCCAGGCACAAGATTTTCTGCCAAATGAGGTCTTTGAAATGTTCTCCCAACCCCCTCCTTCCCTGAGTGTGTGTGTGTGGGGGGGGGGGGAGGGGAGGGAATGGGGGAGAGAGATACCCGAGGAGCAGAGG